ACTCCGAGGCGTCAAGGAGTTGAAAAAAGCGATAATTGAAGCATTGCACCAAGCTGCCCAAGAGCTGACCGATAATGTTTTACTCGAGCCTAGACCACCGTATTATCAAAGTTATTCGGAGGAATGGTGGGTCAGCTGATTATTGACTTTGCAACTTTCTCTCCTTGTTGTATGTTCGTTGTTAAATAAATTAATTTTGTGAGTGGCTGTATCATTTGGCGACGTTGGAAAAGCACCCTTTATTGAAAAATTGACCAAAAAATTGTTTATTCATTCGAGCTGCAATTTGGTGATAATGTGCGGATTGCAATTCAAACTTGACACATTTTTTACTTTGGCAGTTTTTTAGAAACATCAAATACTGTGAGCTTTTGGGAACTTAGGAGTGGCTGTATCACTTGGCGACACACTGTATTCTGCTAATCTGTATGTCTGTGTGTGTCGGTGTGTTTGTCCGACCGGAAATTCATAACTCTTGTCCTCGTGGGCCTAAAGCGTTCAAATTAGGTAGGAGTGCGGAGGACAGGAAGGGAACACCTATGTCGGGTGGCAGGACCGGACTCCTTCTAAAGGGGGCGGCGATAGAAATTTCGGGCCGCAAACTCATAACTCCTGTTTACGTGGAACTAGAACGTTCAATATCACACACATAGCGTCTGATACCTATTCGCTGGCATTGCTGCACTTGAGTTTTCGTTTCGACGAGAACTGTTGCCTAATAATAACCTTCTCACTGGTAGACCTTATCGATCGTTATAATGAATTTTATTAGAGAGAGGCCATACAGATACCACACACAGCCTAGTTCGAAGCTGCCCAAAGCTAAAAATATTGCCCATAACTTGAGGGCTTGTACAGAATACAAAGTATGGTAGCATGTTTCGGGGAATGACCTGGGGAAGAGAAGAACGTGTACCTCTGGTGTTCAAGAAGGAGAAGAATCCCATTTAAGATTCAAGTAACTCCTTACGTTTAAGCGCTTCTTGCCTTGATTGCTTCTCACCTTCAACAGTTCTATTCTCGGAGTTACGGATGGAAGTGCTCGAAATCAATGCTTGTGGCCATTCGAACAGACGCTTCGTTGAAGCTCTCGAAAGAGTCGTAACAAATTGAGCGTTTCCCTACACAACCTTCCAGACTGAGAAATTTCCACAAACGTGTCGTTTGAATTGAGCAGGGGGTCATAACAAGGGATGTGGGTACTTCTTCCCGATGATCGCGTCGCAACGTGTCGGCGGAGGCAGTGCTAGGGGGGAGGAGGGAGGCAGACAGTGTAAGGCAAACAGTCCACGCCCCTTCGAAGGTTGTTTGTTTTCAGTCCCTCGAAGGGGCGTGGACTAATTGCCTATCTGTCTGCCTCCCTCCTCCCCCTAGCACTGCCTCCGCCGGCACGCCGGCCGGCCGGCGGACTATGAAAGCAGCCATTCATCGCACCCGATCGTGCGCTGTGAAGGGAAAGATTAGAGTTTGCGGTGGAAGGGTACGGAAGCTGCACGGGACCACTGTGGCTTGCTGTGGGAATTTGGGGAAGAGTACCGCCCCACCCATTGCGCCATATCCTCATTTTACAGTCTCCAAATAAATATGTGTTACGAATGACTTGATGCACTCGCTAATTGGTAGTGCCCAATAAAAGGGATGAAATAAAAGTGACAAAATTTAGGGTTAAATCACGGTCACCAGTGTGGGATTGAGATAAGCTGAGCCCGAATTGGTTCCTTAATTTCAATACGATTCCGAGTTTGGTAAAGAAAATCACAGATTTCCCCGAATTCCGTTGGTATAGCGTTTCCCTGGCGGTCTTCTACGAACAGGATGCACGAGATGTTTCTGACTGAAAATTCTTCCTTGTTTCAGCTCTAATCACCGGATCTGTTGGGATAGAGAATCGTTCTTCGTGGTGTGAGCATCGGTTTTTCTTGGAACCTCAGTATCACAGACTGAGATCAAAATAATTGCCTGCTCTATTTCAGCTCTCGGGCTCTTGAACGAGAGGTATAGCTGTCTCAGAAATTGGAAACTTGCTATGGAATATGCAGCCCTACAGTAATTGACTTCTAGATTGTGCGTAGTCCCTTCATGTCGGGAAGATGGGGGGCTAACAACGCATGACTGCAATCGAATCAGAAGCAACGAAGGTCGATGGGAGTAGGTGGATAAAACTAGAAGATTCTGTCCAAGTCCAGTTCCCAATGATACTTGAAGTAGCAGCCTAATGATTATTATACCAGATGATATGTTGCAGCCTATTTTCGAAAGCCAATGGAAGAGTTTTGCCGAAAAGATTCAAGAAAAGCTTGAACAAAACCATGTATTCTTCACCGGTGCTATTCTAGTGGATATAATCTGATCAAATCTATTTGTTTGTACAAAATAACGGATTCATGATTATGAATAAAAATACGATTCGTTGTTCTCTCTCTTTCAGCACTACTTGTAAGATCTCGAACTAAATGATCAAGATCGGTTCTAACAATAGGATGCGCCTCCGCATTCGACCTCAATCGAAATTCCAGTGACGTTTTGAATGCGTATGTGACTTATGCAAAGGCCCCCGGTCAGCTGATGTACAAACCACTGCTTCTAATCTCCCAGATGAGTATGTTCCAGTTTACCTACCCCGGAGGTATGGAAGGCACGGTGGGCCTAGGTGGGTATCGAATCGAAGGAATGATCTTGTCTGTATTAACACTTTTGCCATCAAAACGACGCCATGGTGATCTGTTCCTTTTGGCTTTCAAACAACCTCATTTCGGCTGGTTTCTTTCATTGGAGCTTGCTAACCCAATGAACACGAAGGCATGCAGAGTCCAAACTGAAAATCAATCCTGTGATGTATGACAGAACGCATTCTCCTCCATCTGATTCATAAAGCGCTTCAAATGGAAATTCAAATTTCTTGGGACGTGCCAATGACCAGTTGATCTAATCAGTTAGTGTTGTTGTTCCAATGAGTCAGCTGTTCATCCCTATATCGTCTCTTTCATGTTCTTTCCCACATATCTTCTTCTCCATGCTTTTGTTTTCATTTTTCCAGCGAATCGATTTCATATTTATCTTTTCTTTCGCAGCCCCTGTGTTCAGCTGGTTACCACTAGTGGCTTTTGCCGATACTTTGGAATGCTCTCCTAAAGCATGGAATTACATTTTAGATTATAAGTCGCATTCTTCAAATTTGGACTTCAATTTCTATAGGAAGAGGTGCGAGTAAGTTAAGAACATTTCCTCACCTCTTCTGTCACTCTGAGTGAGTTCAATTGACGCTATACTGCCATCATGAGGATCCAGGAGGAGCTTCATAATCAAAATCTGAGCAAAAGAATGAATGAAAGGGGATCAAATTTGCTGAAACTCACGACACAAGTTATTACTGTCCTTTCAGAACATTACGAGTTGTAAGGTCTTCAACATATTGTATTTATGTAAGGAAAGGAATGCGAAAAATTTCTTTGATAGAATTTTTGGAATAGTCTAGAATTGTTATACCTCCAGTGAAATACCTCGTGTATCTATCGAAGACGGAAAATTTGGTGGTATAAATGCTGTCGTTGAAATGGTGATCATAGAATATTTCATTCTTTGAACCATCCTGAAAGTTTTTTATAAATTGTTGTATTAAATGGTAGCAAAAATAATTTTCATGCTCTATGATGCAAGGGGCAGTTTTACTCTGGCGGTCATGCTCTGGCAACTGAGCAACTGACACAGAAGAGTATTGCTGTAAAAATGAAAGCAGATGTGACATTCAAAATGATAGAAATCGATCGCGTTTTATTTGAGTCTGAGTTTTTGTTTAATTACTGTCATAGGCCGCGATGAGATATTTATCAAAGAGTTATATGCGAAACTTCGACATCGCACTGGGTAGGAGGCTCCAGTTAGGATTGAAGGCACATTTCACGATAATTTTGAGGTTATCCATTTGAGCGAAATAATGTATGTCATGGTGCAGAGTAGTGCTAAAATAGAGAAAAAAAATCGCAAAAATCGGTGGATTTCAAGAAATACAAGGCTTGAAAGGACTAGTAGGGAGGGGTTTCGTACGAGATTATGTGTCTAATCGTCCGGGTTTCTCTCACAGAAGCGTTCTGTTCGGCGACATCTGAGCGCCTCCTTGTGAATGGTACAGCTTAGCAAGGCCGTAATAACACGATCATTTTTGGGTGTCAACGTCGGGCAAGCCGGTTTCGGGACCCTTGTAACCCATGTTGAGTTAGTTTTTTCGACCCGAAAATGTCCTGCAAGCAATACATGGGGACCATGGCTTTATTCTAGGAAGGAATCTCGGAGCCATTTTCATCGTGAAGTGATCCTTCAACTTCGAGGCAATCTCATTAAACAAAGCGATCTTGCTTATAATAGGGGTTTTTCCACTGCTGTTTGAAAAATCAAAGTTTAAGCGGAGCTCCGTGAAATAGCGCTTTTTTTTTGAGGTCGATTACATGGGAATACGTTCAGAGATAAGCTTTTAATGCGATTGATTCCCCGTTAAGTTATTCGAGCAGGGCGGTTACGACAAACACGATTGCCGTTGTGCAATATTGTCCAAAGAACTGCGATAAAAACCCTGTTGTCGGTCATCAAAAACCTACTCTCCAATGGTCATCGGTTTTTGGGCCTTTCAACCATTATTCACCGTAAATTCGATCCTACAAATATATATTTATCGATTATTCGAAATTTAGGTTGAATCTTAAAAACAATGTTTTGAATGGGAAATGTGAACAAGTCTGCTGCATCTAAGGCCCTCTATTGTCTAATCCTTCAACTCAAAATTTTGAGAATTCATTGGTACCGCACAATTTTTCAAGACCTTTCCTAATGCTTCTCAAACTTTTTTCAAAGAAACCGCATGGCGATTATTTTGTCCACTCAATATGTACTTTCTCAACAGGTTACTGCAAAAGCTATCAGTGGACACTTCAAAAGCGAGAGTGGACCTATTTCTATTTTTTTGAGGAAACAGAAATTTCCATTTATCATATCTGCAAAAAGGAAAAGTTATAATGGCCGAAATTTTCCTATGCGTTGACTCCACTGGTGGCGAAAGTGTGGAATTGCAAGATGTCCCAAGTAGGATGCCCAATGAAGGAGTCGGGGAAGTCGTTGGAGAAATCTTTTTCCCCAATTTCATCCAAATCAGAGCGTGGTTGCCGGGAATGGACCGGGGCTTTCAACAGGTGGAACATCTTGTATAGGTCAATACGGAAACTATTCATTCCTGGGTTCTATCTTTCGCTCTCCGATAGTCCTTTTTATGAGTTTAGCCCTTTACCTCTCAAAGAGGCCCATTCCACTGTATATTCGAACAGCCAATGCATACGCCATGTCTTCTACTGCCTTTACTAACTATGTGATCGTTTTTGCAAGGTAATGACAAAAAGCGAAAAGTCGAGTCATGTGAGATTCGCAATTCTGATTTTCTCTTTACTGCTGAGTACGGCTATCTATTGCGATCAACAAGCTCTAAGTTTCACAATCATTTCTATGCGAGATGTCGTGGAATCGCAGACGTCGAATGCCACGGAAGGTATATTTTTCCTTCAAAAAAGCCAGAGGTTGTTGAGCTCAGTTCGTTGCTCAGTCTATTCCTTTCCTTTCAGATCATTGGTTAGAGAATCCAGCTCAGAAGAATGCCCTGTTTTCTATCGTTGCAGTGGGGCAACTCATTGGAACGATTCCCATCGTCCCCATCCTGCATGCCATTGGAATGAGGTGAGGTTATATAGAAACTAATACCTTTTTCTTTTTATATCCGATGTTGAAGCTTGTGAGCATAGAAAGCCGAGCTCATATTCACTAAAATAACTATTCAAAGACGTGGAAATCAGTTTTCAGGTATACATTCGTCTTCTACGGAGTTGTGGCAACCTGTGGGACATTGATGCTTCCCTTAGCAGTGGAATTCGGATACGCTTCAGTAATGGTGACAAGGTTTATGCAGGTATGTATGTGTGGTGATGGGTCCCTATTCTGTATAGGTAAACAATCCATAAACAGGGATTCGCAATGGCTATTGCATTTGTGAGTGTCGGTACAATAACATCACATTGGTCAGCTCTTCTCGAATCAGGAACCTACATTGCAATACTCTCCTGTAGTGCACAGGTCTGCTGAATTGAAGTTTTTTTTTCGAATATTAAGGTGGTTATTGTTGAAAGTCATTCACAACATTCCCAATGTCATAACCACAACTTTTTGTGGACAGGAGGACTGACCAAATGAGCCAACGTTCGCCACTAGTACTGAACAGTCGCCTTTATTGATTTTTCTTATTTTGATCAATATTAATTCTATTTTTGATCGGGAACCCTTAAAAATCCCCACTTCCAGTAACATTTTTTTTATAAATAGAGAGTTTCTATCTAATATGGAGGAAAACGGGAAAGAAATTATCTACGAGCTCAAAGGGCACAGTACACGATAAGAATAGTACCCGAGGTTTGAACGACGTTGTAGAAATGGCACCCTTCACAATGGAGCGCACATTTTAATAATCCAAACAACGAGGTATATCCAATGGCGACAACGAAAAGTAGATTCTCTCTTCTTCTATGACCGACACTGATACACACACATACCAACGCATACACACACCGACACACATACACACACCGACGCACACGTCGATACCCACACCGGCACACACAACGACATATATACAGCGATACACACATACACATTCATATCGACACACACCGATATGCTGGCGCCGGCAATTACACTGATACATACCCCGACACACACATACACTGACTGACAGACACGCCAACACACACACCGACACACACCGACAAACGAGCAGACACACAGACACGAATAGACATAGTAGGCAACTTTTCAGAGCTTCTTACTTACTCGAATGCAAATGTGATTGTAATCATGGTAGGTCATGCATATTGACCACCATAAAATCATAGGTAGTGGGCATTGGAAAAGTTCCGTGCCGTCCGTCGTTCACGCTAATCTATTACTATCCTTACTATTCATTTTGAAGTTACATAATCAGTTGTTATTTCCATAAATACTCCATACTATTTTAACTATTTCATAGTTTACATTATTTTACAGCATTTTACAACGAAAAACCTCATTCCAGTTAGCTCCAGTGCTAACACTACCGTTGGCGAGTGCGTTTTGTGAATCATCGCTTGGTTGGAGTTATGTTTACTATTTATTCGGCATCACCAGTGTTATTGTAGTCATAGCATTCTTCACACTCTACAGAGATGATCCAAAGAATCATTGGTAGGTTCTGGGTAGAATTTGTGACAGTTACTTTTACTAATTTCTTTGTTTCTCTGCTGAAAATAATTTTATTTACTCTGTTTATTGTTTATTCAATACGCGAAGCGTGTTTGTTGATCCAAATGAGAAAAAACCTAGGACCTCCGTCAAAGAGTTAAAGGTCTAGGATAGAATGGTATCTAACTTAATCATTCGCTTGATAACCGTTCTTCAGGATGGTCAACCCTGCGGAACAGTCGGCTGTTTCTCTTGGGAAGGAAGGCCAGTCGATCAAAGAGCCTGTACCATACAAAGATATTTGCCAAGACCGATGTATGCAGGCTGTTCTGCTGACAACATTTGGTGGGAACACGGCGTTCTTCATTTTTTTGCATTACGGACCAACATTTATCAACAAGGTGGGTCCCACCTCAGTTCTTCTCTTAAATCTGGCGCTTGAATGGAAATCTTCAGGCCTTGGGCTTGGATATAACTGAGACCGGATTCGCCACAGCATTACCGTATGCTTTATGCCTGATGCTGAAATTCGTAGCAGGACCACTATTTGATCATAGTACATTCATTTCCGAGAGAAATCGAGTGGTTATGTTTGCATCACTATCCCAAGGTGTTATGGCCGTATGTTTCTTCGTACTTTCACAGGTAAGTATGAATCGAAAGGACCTTTCCCACTTGACAATTTTGTATAGGCGAATATTTTAATCTCGGCAAATAGGTCCTTAGTAAGTGCCAAGCTCCCGTTTGAGCTTAAGAGTTCTTTAAGCTCCTTCTCTTCTCGCCCAGAGCTGGAGTTCGTTGTTTCAAAGTTCCTTGTTAAGGCTCCCAACAAAATGATCGCACAAATTGCGTACAGTGCAGCAGCAGCATTCAACGGCTTGAACATTGTTGGATCTATCAAATGCGCCCAAGTGGTAAGTCCATTTGTAGCTCTATTGGAATCTGAACGGAACAGCTATGCTGAGTGCTATCCGTCTAAAAGGTTAGAAGTTAGGACGCATGTGAATTGGAAAGCCTGGAGGCTAAAGAATTTTCCGGTTGATCAGTTCCGTTTTGGAATTTTGGAATGCGCCCTGTCTTTGACACTTGTTCAAAATCTTAGTGGCGTTGTGAATTCCTGTATGGTCTGTACCAAGAAGTGTTGTTGGTGCCATCTGGCGCTACACTCACCAGCTCCGCCCAAAGAAGTACGTGATAGAGGAAAAAATCAGTGGTACGCCAAGAAAAAAGGGAGCGTGCGTAGTTTGCCCTCTAAACAAGGTTGAAGCCGCTCGTCAGTGAAATAGGCAGTGATAACTGTGCCCTAGCCTTATGTTCCCATCGACAAGCGATCAGTGATGTGACGGCACTGCTCTTTTCTATTGGTGAACCCCTGAAAATCGGCTGCGTTGAATTCGACAAAGCAGTAGATGAGAATAGGATTCGCTCAGAAGAGTGTCCAGCTATTACCAGTACTAAAATAATACCTACTTAACTCAAACAGTTCGCCACAGCACCTACCCAACCCATTCACGTGCCTGGAGCCGATCTCGTTTAGGTTGCTAGACAGCACGTGCACTTCGTAATGGTGTGCGTCACTATAGGTGGTTGTGTGATCAGCTTTATTCTACCTTTTGTCGTCGCTTTATTTTGCCCAAACAACTCTATGCACGAGGTGAGCCGAGTAGGCCTAATTTTTCTAATAAATTACTTTTACTTATAAGAAATATCTTCAACCAGTTGTGGGTTAGTATGGAGCGGAAGATAGACGTCGGCGGTTGTCAAAATTAAGTCCTATAAGGTGATCACAGGGGTGGCTCAAGCGTTCAAACGGCTGATCCTTCAAGACCCGCAAAATGTCAGCTATGGAGGTGAAATAGTTTTTGTAGGGTGAGGAGACATCAGCCACGCCCATTAAGGTAGAAGGCATCAGGCGTAAAAGAAAATGTCTCGAAAAATGTAATAGGAGTGCCTTACGGTATCGTTGGGAATGTGTTCCGCCATAACCAGGTATACCCTCAGGACCAACAGAAGGATTACTGTATCGATCAATAAAACCTGGTCAATTCCAAAGAGAGGACTAGGTTTTTTTAATGAAAACATGAAATGGGAAGAAGAAAGCAGAGTGCTACCCGAACTATCCGATGCTCCTGTGCCGAATGAGTTTTTAATGGTGGACTTCACATTTCCCTTGACGTTACGACAAGTTCGTCGCTCTCGGAAATGAGAAAGCGCTTCGACAACTTTCGGAGTGTCACCTATTACGACTGCTAGACACAGAGGCACAGAGTACGTATATGGCAATAAACGCCCAAGTTCCAGGGACGGCAAATGTCTGATTCACTTCCTAATGCAATCCCTTGGTTTGATTTCAGTTTCGTTCACTTCATATGGTGTTTTATATTTGCATTTAGTAGTCGACTTTTAGTGGTCACGCCTTTTCTTCGGCACAGGCTTGTTCGTGATCGTCTGTTGCTGTCCCTTTCTGTTTTTGGCGAGAAGTGAACCAGCGCCATGGACGAAGTCAGCTGCATTCAGAGCAGTCAGCACCGAACAGGAAAAAGGACAGTCAATGCCGTCAATGGAAAAATGTGAGATTCGAGTCTTCCCTGGATCACCTTTTCTTGACATAGACGGAGATGTCAAAGAGATATACAACGACAGCCAGAAGGACCGTGGTTCAGAGAGAAGGATAAGTTCAATTGGTCAAGGAAATCAAACGATGAAAGCACACCCGGTCTAACTAGTCAATCGTGAGTTACAGGTGTCGATGGGTGATGATATATGATCCTCAGAAAACTTCTAATTCTTCAGTTTTAGTCGATTACTGAAGTAGGAAGCAATTTTCTTTCTCATGTCAAGTTTTTTCGAGGCTATTCTGGAAAAGGCCTCCCCAGTAAGTATGAACGCCTCCTATATGTGCACATGCTCGATAACCTTGCAGGAATGATTCTTGATGTGAAACTTGGATTTTGCCGTAACTTCACGCTCTCGTGAAGAACTTAGGATTGCGGTTGATGGGCATAAACTGTTGTTTCATTATTCTGTTGTATTATGCAGCACATACTATGGCAAAACGATTCAACAATAGATCAACACTGTATAATTACTGAATCAGGCTAATAGTCAGATACTCTTCCACTCTGGTCTGGGCAACCCCTCCCTAATAGTCAGATACTCTTCCACTCTGGTCTGGGCAACCCCTCCAAAAATCTGTGGTTTTATCCGGTTAATCGCGATTGGCTTCATTCAAAAGTACGAATGCGGGAAGAGTTTTTCTAGAATGATCATCGGAGGAAGTGGTCAATCGAGTTGTTGTTGAAGTAAACCAAACAAACAGTAAACTGTAAGCAATAACTCGGGCTGCTCTGGTGGTCAGAAATTCGGCGCAAGTCTTTCCAAGTTGATGACCAATGACATCGTTCCGAGACGTGTCAACCGGTAGAAGTTCCAGCCCAGTGGTAGCATGTGAGTCCAGTGCCAAAATCAGGAAAGTCATCTGAATCTTACAGTAATCCGGCAGTGCATTCTGGCCGGGAGGGTTGATTA